TGCGCTTCATTAGTCCTCTCTGTCGCTCTATATAGTTGTCGCTCTATCGTTCTATAATCGTCACTTTGTCGCTCTTATATCGAACTTTCACACAATGCTCAGTGCCGCTGCACATCGTGTGAATAGCCGCGGACGTTTTTTGACTCACCCCCACCACGCGAGTTGACTCTCCTGGTCTCTAGTCTTCTTGGATTAGAATTAAGGGTATCGGTTGTGAAATGGGATACAGGGATATGTGTCTAAAATAACATTCGTCATCGACCAGTTGTTGTTCGATAGTTCAGAGCCACATGTGTCACTTATTATTGACAACCGCCGTTTCGGTTTATAATCCTTAATCGATTTACTTCTTCTGTTCCTCGGGATAAAGTTCTTCTATTCACGTGGTTTGAATATTTAATGCGACGACTCCGTCCCGAGTGGATTACTAGTCCACAAGGCGAGTGTTAATTGGCTCGTCACCATCGTAACTCCCTTGGTAGAAACAGATGGTCTACTGATAATAATCTTTATGGTGATGACGAAAATTCTAATCGAAGAAAAGAACTGTGGAGTCTGGACGTAACATTTTACTAAACGCACTTACATATTTCGGCTCATTTTTGAGCCTTTTTAAGAAACAATATAAACTCACACATATATAAAATATAACAAATATTAACTTGTCAATATTATAATCAATTATAATTTCAAAATTTTCTGATACATTAGTTTTTCATTTTCTCTATTTCGAGATTTCCAAAATTTCTTTTTTTTTTTCTTTATTTCATTCTTATCTGGGTTTAATTCTGACGTTTATATTCTCGATACGGGGGAGCTCACCATGACAAGTTAATATTTGTTATATTTTATGTATGTGAATTTATGTTGTCTCTGAAGAAGGCTCAAAAATGAGCCGAAACATGTAAGCGCGTTTAGTAAAATAAAGAAGTTTTACGTTTTATAGTCGTATTATTTGCGCAACGTCTTCCGCGCTTGTCTCCTATTGCCCATGTTCTTTCTTAGTTCTTTTGATTTATAAGGAGTTGGTTAGTTTGATTTAAAGAATTTTACAACAGTTGCAAAGCTGCTTTTTCTGCTGAACGCAGCTTTGCAGCTATTGTAAAATTCTTCAATATGAATGGTTTATACCCTTAAATCAGGGCTCGGCAAGATTTGCACTTCTCGGCCGATTTTCGAGAGGCTCAGCCTCCCGCTCACCCCACGCGCAGTCCAAATGCCGCTTGACGTTTAGGAGCGTACAACGCTCGTAGACCATGAAGTCCATCCACTTTAGGCGCTCACGCTGTAAACTTCATTCTATATCTTTTTTTTTTCGTTCATTACATAACTAAGATAGAATGAAGCAACGCATAAAATCGAGCACTTACACGTTGCTTTATTCTATCTTAGTTATGTAATGAACAAAAAAAAAATAGAATGAAATTTACAGCGTGAGCGCCCAAAGCGGGTGGACCTCATGTCTACGATCGTCATACGCTCCTAAACGTCGAGCGGCATTTGGACTGAGCGCGGGGCGAGCGGGAGGCGG